ATAAAAAAAAAAAACTTTTTACTTTGGAATATCCACAAATATTATCTATTAAGTTTTTTACCTCTCGTTTAAAGACTAAAGCGATCACATAAAATTTGGTATTTTTTGTACATCAGCCGTTAACTGTCCACTACTGCACATAGACTACCATGGACAAGTAATTTACACATATTAGATAGGGCGGGTTGGTTATCTTAGGAGTGATGTTTAAAGAGAGATACATGTGCAATATGTGGCTATATATATGCCGGGACCACACGGCGAATTTTATACATATATACTTAGTATTATATTTATTACACATACACTCACACATATGTACATAGCATATTACTATATACAAGTATGTATGTCTGTTTAGAATATAGGTACATTGTAATCAAAATACAAACCAAAATTTTAAAAACCCTTGGTTGGTAGGAGTAAACTGTGATATGTAGGCGTCATGTTGTGGGAGTGATGACGTCATTCGCACCATAAAGTGTCTAGACGCCTATGACGTCACCAAGCGAACAGTTATAGGGTACATCGTAGGCGAACTTCCCAGAAGGAATAATAATATGAACATAATTTGCTACCTACATTTTACGGATAACTAAATGCAGGGTGGTCCATTTCCATAATAATTATATATATTTTATGTATCGAATCAGAATAAATAATACGATATAATAAAAATAATAATAATATATAATTTTACATATATAAAAAAAATATAAATATATACATTAATATACAACAAAATCCAGATTCTATTACTTATAAATAGTTAAAACTGTTTGGAATTTAAGTAAAAACATAACTTATCGTAGGACAAGCCATGATTCGAGTAGAATTCTTAGTGTACATATAAAATTTCGCATCCTTTACCTTTTGGAGTAAGTCATTGATATAAACAGGTTTTTTTTTTATAATACTGTAAATACACCTTGCACTAACAATGCAATGTAACAATTAAAAAATAAACAAGAATTTAATAGTCAATGAAGCTATGACTATGTTATTAATTATTGTATATGTCATAAATATATCGGCATTGGAAGGTTATCAAAAGTTTATATAGGCTAGACTAGAGATCAACCTCGTATCAAGTACTAAATAAAGATTAAACGATGTTAAGGATTTCATCTTTCTGTTTACGTTAGGTAAATACATATATGATATCCGTTTACCAAAACTCATTCATAGTTCAATAGTTTTGGGTTAAGAAGTGACAAACATCCATTTATCTTTATAAACTTTCACATTTATAATATTGATAGGATTACAATATGAAAGTGTTGATAAAACATTTAAATAGTTAAAATAAGGTTTAAATAATAATAATAATAATAATAATATTTATTTAATTAGACTACATAAGGCCCATTTTGTTAGTTACAAATTACAAACCAAAATGTTAGTAAATGAGCGGTCATAACGCTCTTATATTGATAACCTGTCCCATGTTTTAGGATGATGACAGTCCATTTTATCAGCACCTTAACACTGTTTGAGCTAACACGTCACCCAACAGCGAAACAGTTCGTTTGCATCGTATTGCGAAAAATCATCAGAAGGAATAATAATGCAAACATGTGTGACGCACTACATTTTACTAGGATAACTAACAGTGCCCTGAAGGCATTATTGTCCATTTCCTAAGAGCATTATATATTTTTTGACTATAGTTGACCCAGAATAAATTGATATAATAAAAATAATAATAATATATAATTGTTTTGTACATATATAAAAAAAAATATAAATATATACATTAATATACTGCAAAATCCAGATTCTATTCTATATCCATCATCTTTTAAAGTATTTGCAATAATGTGACCGAGATATTTAAAATCAGAACCACGTCAGGACATTTCCATTAAGTGATATAGGAGGCACATACTTCGGTTTTTTATGTCCAGATACAAATGTCATAATTACACTTTTGCTAGAATTATATACCAGACCATGGTTTTTTTATATGCTTCACACACAGCTGCATTTTTCTTAAAAAATAAACAAGAATTTAATAGTACCATGTCGTCGGCATAGCTTATGTTATTGATTATTCCATCAATATAACACCCAATATTCCGCTGAGCTCCTCAATTAGGCCATTTATATACATATTAAACAAGTTGATCAAGTCAGTATCAAGTACTAAATAAAGATTTTAATCGGTATGAGTCTGATAGAGTATCATTCATCTTTCTGATTACTTTGATTATTGTACCAATACTAAGAACTCTAACTAACTCATGTCATAGTCTTATCAAGTTTACTCCATAAAAGATCATAAGATCCATATCAAAGGCTTTATTAAATCCAAGAAACATGCAATATTGATGGAGGATCTGTCTGTGTAGTATCTGACCGTATGCTTGAGACACAGTGAAAAGTTAAAGTGTTCCAACTTTTTTTTTATACAACTTAGAATGGCAAACAAGCTGACGGCCCACCTGATGGAAAGTGGTAACCGTCGCTTATAGACATGAGCAATACCATGGACATATCAGAGTATACTGTTTCACCCATAATACCCCCATGCGTTGCCATTCCTGAGGACTCAAGTATTATTTCTCCGTACCCAGTAAATTCACGCCATATCCCACCCTTCAAACCGAAACACAACTGCTTTACGGTTGAAACACGAATGGGACAGAGGTACCCAAGCAACCGACTTTTGTACAAAGTCTCCCTCTTATAACTTTTATAAATAAAGCTGTAACTTTGTCACTGATTGCGTCCTCACTACAATTTTCTCTGCGTAGTTTATTCACACGTATTTTCTTATTGTACCTTACTCATATACAACTAAATAAGTTCTGTTGGCGCGGTTTTCGTTAATTAAATTCCTTCTTTTCTTAACAACTCGCGGAATGGACACGTAAGAGAATATAATCTGCTATTATCATGCTGGGCAGGTGACCCAAATATTGGACTTTGATTAGAATTTTCCTTTTCCTGCACATTATCTTGCTGTATTCAACCGACTACAAAAGAAGGAAGTTCTCAATTCCGTTGTATTTTTTTAATGTTTATTATTAATCGCCTCTTACTATATCCAGGATAAAAATAACGTAATATACATACTAAGGTACAGTTTTAAAGTCTCTGAAAATGTATTTAAATGTTAGAATATGTGTTTAAACGTTTTATGTGTACAAATATGAGTACATACATTGAGAATAGAAACATTAGAAGGGACAATGACACTATCAGTTCAATGTACTGAAGCCTGATGATCAAACAGATCTTCATTATGGTAATATTCGATATATTATGCTCAATTGTAAATTATTGTGGAACATGAATAATGGATAGATGCACTATCGCGCTTCGTCACAAAAAGTTTGACAATTCAAAAATGTATACCTATAAGTACCTATTGTTTCACCTGGTCGTGCAAAAATAAATTCTCAGCACAGATTCTAAGTCTCAGTTTTGTTTTTTTTTTTGTGACTATATATTTACGAAATATCTCATCATTCACTAGTGTGTGTGTTTATGAATGCACGATTTTTTTGTGGACCAAAATGTATTCGTTTACGTGTTAAGTACTTATTTACGTTCGTAGGTATCAAAAAGGTGATTGAAACCCCAAATTTGTATTATTTCCTTACAGCAATAGAATAAGAATATAAGGTATCAATTGTGTTATAAGATCTTTTCATTCCCACTGATAGTTAAGGAAAGTAATATATCTTTATTAATAGATATTATTATTATTATAGACAGTAACAGACACCGCAACCTTAATTTATATGGAAACTATTCACTATTAAACTGCTTGCTTTGATGTTACAAAAGTTACTTATTGATAGCAAACCCCGTCTTATATATACATATATTATATTAAATCATTCTGAAAATATTCTATAGAGTAAGTATTGTTACTATTAATTTTCTAAAAAAAAAAAAAAAATTAATACAATTTTTATTTTACTGTTAATTTGGATTCAGAGCGCTGAATCGATTGTATCATGATCGAAACTAAGTTCTATTGTATTTAATTTAGGGATAAAATTTGACATTAGTGAAGACAAGCAAGAAAAAGAGTACACATAGAACTCTGTGCTACCTGAGCACTGGCCACTTAATAACCACTGGCAAGGTTGTATATTTTTCTTCGAAAGACAGTGAGGTATTCTTGGGTTGTTATCGTCAATACTTTCCATATATTCAAATATTATTAAATTTGTTAAATAATAATGTTAACACTACAACCTCTTCACTTTGTCTTTTATTATATTAATATAAAATATTGTCATATCCACTTGGTATAATTATTTGGTTTTGTTATATTGTGTACAAAATTGCATAATTATCTCATTAATTGCACAGATAATAAAAATTAAAAAAATCTCTTCAGCAGTAGCGTAATTGTAATACAAAACGAATTGTGTTTCAATATCACGTTTCATTGAGAAACGAGTGGGTTGTTTTGCCCTCGTCCAATTTTCCAGCTGCGCGGTCCACAGATAACGAGTTGACACCGACACACCGACGCGCCAGGGTTGCCAGATGTGTATTTAATTTTTCCCCAAAACTGTATATTATTTTCCCGAGAACGATTTCCTACAGGTTTACCTAGAAATTAAGATATTTTTTATAACACAAATGGCAAACAAGTATGGGTCATCTGACGGTGTGTTCTTGAGCATCCACAACATCAGAGGAAATGCAGGTGTTGTCGGCCATTGAAGGCGGAATATGACCTATTTTCATCTTTTAGTAAATAATTGCTGCAACTATTAAAGATTAGGTTGTGGACAGCTGACGGAAAATAATCTTAATTTTTTTTTTTTTTTATACAACTTAGAATGGCAAACAAGCTGACGGCCCACCTGATGGAAAGTGGTAACCGTCGCCTATAGACATGAGCTGTAACCATGGACATAACAGAGTATACTGTTTCGCCCATGATACCATGTATATGACATTATACGTAGTTTCATATATTTTTGTCGTTCAATTTACTACTATTTTTGTTAATGTAAATATGCATGAATAGATAGTTCGTTTCCCATTAATGTAAAAACTACCGAATGTATTTGAATAAATTTTAGACAGATATATTATTTTATAACTTAAAACATAGGATACAATATAAACATAATGATTTACACGGGTGCATTTACGATTTGCAAGTATCAAAACTAAAAATTAAAATAGGCACCTAAACTTGTTCACGATATTTTTTTCTTTCCAAAACTTCTCTAAGAGATATATTTTTACCCATAATTGCGAAAAACACCCCAATCTCCCAACATCCCGACACGCCTACATACTCGTAAATCGAAACGCAACAGGCGCTAGCGAACTCATCTATGGCTATGCATTTACGTAACCACAGTAACGAGTTTCGTAGCGTGAAATTATTTTTTAAATGTCACTTGAGTATATTCGAGTAGAAAAATGTAAATTGGGATGCAAAATTGAAAATTATTCTTGTATAATATCAGAATTATAAATTATTTCTGTTGATTATTTGTTATACCTAGATAAACAGTATTTTTCTGTATAGGTATATTATTTATACTTATACAAGTATATTCCTTTAATACAAATAAATTGTGTGTATTTGTTTATCTATTTATACATACATATCTGTCACGCCTATTTCCCCAATGGTAGGCAGGAACATTAAACATTAATGCTATATCTATATACCTATCTGTCATTAAATATAAAATCTGCCTACTTAAAAAAAAAAAGTCACAATATAACAAATTCAACAAATGTAATTACTAATATTATACATTTGAAATTAAGATTTCTTTTATGTTTGTTGACTGGAAAACTCTTTAACAATAATTAAGAATATGTTTCATAAAAAAAACAGCCTTTAATTGCAGCAAAACTATTTTTTTTTTCATTTAAAGTCTTAATAAATCAACCTTTTAAAAAAATCTATATGACCAATCTGTATATAAAAATAAAGCTGATGAACAAGAAGAAGATTTACATCTGACGGAGTTATAAGGTAACAAACGTATAAAAACTACAATCAAAATGAAAACAGCCTTCTTTTGAAGTAGATTAAAATAAAAAAAAAATACTTTAAAGAAACTTGAAAAGTAGTCAACACTTGAGGTTGCACGAGTCCAACGAGGCGGCGAGCGACGGGGGCGCGCCATTCGTTACGTCACGGAGTTTGTAGATGTCGTCACGGCATGTATGCCCCAACCTCCTCGCCCCTTGCCCACGCTAACACGCTTCAACCACCATTTTTCTCAATTTTCCAAGCGTCTACCGCCGGCTGCGCCCACAAGATAAGCTCCTAGTACAGGATTAAATTGGATTTAGTTACTATTTATACCTTAACAATTTTCTACGCGACACACCCGATTTTTTATTTACACGCAACTAGTTTACTAGCTAGTTACTCTTAAATGTAGTTGAACTAGATCACTGTCGGATAATTTCCTGTATAATAGAATATTTTTTAAACGATTATTTGTCATGAAAGACGGAAACGGGGTTGATAAGATTTTTTTAGTCGATGAATGCCAACAGTGAATAGACTAATATTTTTAAAACAATGTTGATGTAAAAAGATGGAGATTTGTGTGAAAAAATAAAAAAAAAAAACATTATGATAGAACCTTGGGAGTAATCCGGGAAAATTCGGGGCGGCTTAACGTTAAAAAGAATAACAAATATTATTTTTGTCCGGGGCAGTAATATTACCAGATCGGGCATTGCGAAATTGCAATAATACATGACAAGTATTATGGTTAAACATTAATAAAAAAAAATAAGACCAAAATAAGCTGTGTCAAAAAAAAAGTAAAAAAATCTGAAGGATGATGATGACGAACGATGTAACTAAAAGGTTCTTAACACGCTTTTTCACTCAGCACTATTTGTAACAGTATCTAATATATGAGGGGAAGTAGCATGTGACATGTACCTATTTCATATGAAATTAAACATGTTACTTATAAAATATTCCATACCTAATATATTTATATTAGTTATCCACGACTATACGCTGTATAATTTTAGTCTATTTACTCATATAATAATTTAGCGGATATATCTCAACACAGTGTTAGTATTACGTTATAATTATAATATGTATCCACAAAAGGCGAATGTCTTTATGTTATGCGTATTGGATTACATAAGAGTCCTTTTGTCACTCACCCAATTACTAACGTAATCGGCTTTGAGGTAATACCATTATATGTTACTATGTCGTCCTGTAGAGAACAGTTAAGACAGATCCCTGTTAGTGAATAATTTGTACAAACTAACGGTCCTCACATTACGGTTTTAGTGTAATCAACATAGTAAGATTTAACATTATTTGAATTTCATGATCAGTTATATTTTATCTTGGTTATTTTAATACTGGAAATAACAACAGTCTGTCCCTCTCCATTGCAAAAGTACTGCATTTTCTAACACCAGGTTTCTATAATATCAATTGGAATTGTGGTAATTTATACTTATTATAGATCAGACTATGCAGATAATAGCTGAAAGGGTCAAAGAACATATCACAGCTATTAAAAATAGCTAAACTAGCTAATTAGCGATTGCAGAACATTTACTGCAAGTGAGTACTAACCATTGAATCGAGTTTCACCATCCACAAACCATTTCCACAGAATGAAGTTTTTATTCAAGAATGTTAAGCGATTGAAATTATGAAACAAAAAAGGTTTCGAACTCTCCGTGACCTGGAATCCAGTAATCCAAAAAAAAAAACATTACCTTACTATAGTAAGCAGTTGGTAAATGCATCAAATAAAGACAGTGTTTGTGTGCAGAAACCCTCACTATAGGGATACAGTTTGTATGATGGAGGCAATGAGTGGTTAGAAGAAAATACTCCTGCCTCGAAAGCGAAGGTACGGCACCACTATATCAGTCTACTCGTGCCATAAGCAATAGTTCTAGTCGAGACGTCGAAATAACTCAGGAAAATTATCATAGTTTATCTAAATGATCGTGTTAATTTCCATCACTAATATTGCAACACAAAAGTCTAAAAGTCATTAGACTATGTGCCCAGTAAAACGATAGTATAAACCATACAATCGGACTTATAAAACTACCACCTAACAAATTTGAAATAGAATACATAATAGAACAGATTGGAAAATCCGGACAAACAGGAAACAATCAAACACCTGAGATTTAAATCGTTGTTAGTAGTTGTAAAATGAAATGATAACAACAATGATAATAACCAACTACTTTATTGACAAACACGTTTTATTTTCTGAATGATCATAATGTTACATAAATACGGAGTCGGAGCTGATAAGACTATGCGGCAGGAAGGAAACGGTTTTATCAAAGGAAACGCGTCAGTGTAATTGAATTAATTCGTGTAAAGATTTGGAGATATATAATTTTATATAGATGGCAATAAGTTAGTAATTCATGATTTATAATTATTTTTACTTTATACAATTTATACAATTAGTTTCACTACCACTACCACTACCACCGAAGGCATGCGCGCGGCGACAATCGACGCAACCAGAAAGCGTACCATGATTTTTTTTCCGTAATTTCGGGGATGAACGAAACCCAAATTTGATGTTAAAAATACATAATATATACAATTCAAAAATATTATAAATGTTAAAATTTCGTTCCTTTAGACTTTTATGTTATAATTTGTAATAAGCCAAATGTTAAACTTAGTTTTCTAGGCCGATTTTGGTATGAACGAAAATACGAACTTGAGTCCGAAAACTCGGAATTTTATTTCATGGTAGCTTCTAGCGCGCTGGTTACGTAGAGCTGCTCGCGATACAGCCGTAAACCGCGCTCATGAATAATGCTTCTATTGAGTTCGAAACTAATCAAGTATCCCCACATTTAAAGACCTGAGGGTCTAGCATGAAATATTTTCCGAAATTTCGGAGCCAAACGAAAGAAAAATTTGATTTTAAAATTGCATAATACAAGCCGTTTGGAAATATTAAAAATGTTAAAATATTGTTCCTTTGGATTTTTATGATAGGATGTATGACGAACGAAATGTTAAACTCCATTTATTGGTCCGATTTTGGTATAAACAAAAACATGAAATTGAGTCCGAAATTTCGGAAAACATTTCATGGTAGACCCGCTGAGTAAAGCCAACATAAACAATCACTATATAGTATGATTTACGATAGTTATTATTCAATAATTATTTACCTCATTTACATTAAACTGTCAAAATATAAGAGCATAGAGATATAAATATCTCATCACTCTTTTGATGTCATTATCTATTTAATTTTATGCTAACTTGTAACCCCCACCGCTCCCCTTTCCTTTCCCACATAAGTCCCTTATTCCTCTCATTTACCAATTTCCTTCACGCATTTCCAACGTTCCCTTCCTTTCTTCCTCAATCCTTTCCTCCATACCGTAGGTGACAGAAACCATCAATAAATGCATTCCCAAAGAGGGTTCACGTCAAGCAGGTGGCCGGTCGTAAAACTATAAGCCAAGTCTTTTTTGTAATATGTAATGTATTTATATAATAAAACTACGCCGACCCCAAATAATAATTGGGATAAGGGTAGGAAAATGATGATGATGATGATGATGATGATAACTTCTAATGCTTCGAAATAACTTTTGAATTTGTTTCTACCATATTTATGATACTACGAGTATATATTATATGGTTATACGTCTTTTACACAGTAATAATAGTTTTAAATAAGATGTTCTAGCGATTGCCTGATTATTTATCACACGTGTTAAAACATGCCACATATTGTTTGCAATATCTAAAAAAGAATTGCTACAAAATGCCTCTTAAGTCAAAGTCAGTGAAGTACTTGTCTGGAATAAGTATAAATCATTATATTATATATAATTTTATTTATTATAATTATAATTTTTCATTAATTGATTGACCTGTCAAAATTTAGGTCTGGGCAATAAACAGACCGATAAAAATTTATTTATGTATTTTATATTGCTTTCGAAGTTCGAAAATACTTTTTAAAACTTTTCTTAGGAATTTTAAAAATTGAGTTGTTAAATTCATATTGCACGACTAAACATTTTTCTTTTTTTATATAATATTAAGAAGTACGTAATATAGTATAGTTTACGCCATTAATACGCATATTGCTAGATTTAGGTTTTTGTTAAGTCTAATCGCGATAAGAGCTAAGATACCCATAAAACTCCATAAACAAACAGTAATCTCTTAGTTTTAAATCCACTTTACGATATAAACTCCCTTAACGGTGCAAGTATTCCTTGCACAACCATCTCGTAGCAATGAGTTCACAACCATAAAACAACATGCCAACAATCCTATGCACTTACAGATTACATCCTGATCACGTAAACGTGTTTGCAAATTATCACAACGTTAACATTCAGTACTTATATGAATTTTACTGGAACATCTTTACAATTGTTGGCCGCTGTTGCGAATATGCTGTAGAGATGTAAACAGTGATATGCCGAGTCCAGCTGACTCGAATACGTACTAGGTACAACAGGTACTTATTATACAGAATTCGGATACATGATTCTCGAATACAGAATTCGAATACTTGAGTCTTTTGACTAGTATTCGAGTATCTTAAGTATTCGTTTTATAATTTTATACTTATTATAATCAATTTATCGTAAGCGTTTATGTTTCTTTTTTATCGTTTCATTCATTTTTCTCCTAATGACTAAAGGAAAAGTAATAAAATGATTGGCGATTTATTAAAAATCAATTGAAAACGAATACAAGATTCGAATACTGATCCAATTATTCGATTACTAGGCTGAGTAGTGGACTGCAGTTAGGGAACGATTTTTTTAACGAATAATAAAGTTATCGAATATCCAAAACGAGGACTTACTAATGTAAAAGCATGCCAATGCAAATTCATAACAGTTTTGTCACTGAAATCTTTTGTTTGTCTACATAATCGCATTATACATATTAACTCATATGACAAAGTGATTCATGGCATCATAATAATGTTGGTGAAGACATAAAAGTGTCGGGTGAAAGGCGAAAATAGTATTCTGCTTATAAGATGGGTAAATGCTTCGATCATTAATGATGATCGAAGGGTAATACGAAAGGTCGACACATGACCTTTCACTGAGAATGGATTGTAAAAGTAATCCGATAACCGTCTAAACAGAAGTTTAGTCTACATAAGACTAGAAATATGTATTGAGATATTTGTTATAAGTATTTTATGATGACAGGATTACGATGCACTAAAGAAACATCTGATCTGGTGCCGTTCCATTATAACTTAATTATACAAAATATTAGCTTTTTTCTGCAACTTCGTATAACCGAAATATGTTCGTAGGGCGTTGTTAAATAAAAGTAACCTATGTCTTTCTTCGTTCTATATAGTATGTGTATATTAAACTTCATGATTATTGGTTAAGCAGTTAAAGAGATAAGAGTTAACAAACAAAACAAGAAACACACTTTCACATTTATAATTTTACTAAGGATTCCATTTAATTAAATATCACTACCATTTATATTTATGTACGGCGACCTTTTTATGTGTTTTAGCCAGCTTTTTTTATATATCTTTTAATGTGTTTTACTGTAGGACTGTTTGACAGGTTATCGGAAGCAAAGAGTAGATGACCTATTATCCAAGTTCCAAATACGAATAAAAAAAAAAATAAGAAAAGTTTTAACCTGAGATTCGATATTGGAAATTCCGGATCGCGTTATCCGACTAAGATATCACTACTCATATTTCAATTTCACTACCAAGAGAATACATAACTTTACTAAGATTAAATTCCCGTTTGACATCTATTAATTCGAACACACATCGCAATACACGATACACCAAAGTAAAAGTATGTTGCAAGGAATATAATTGCTCAATTATAGAGTGTCAGTGTTGGAAAACAGTGCTTGAGTGTTGGCCCGGTTATTCTGTATCTAGTATACAAGTATAGGTATACACTGGTGCTCGTGTTGGCCCAGATCGACAACAGCTGACATTGCACGGGTTGCATGTTGCTGATAACATGGTAATGTTTATGATTATATATTAGAATATGACGCTACGACAATGTATTAATGATTATACAATAAATAAATGAATAATATTTATTATGTAGTTTTAAGATATAATAAAATATAAGTACTATTCTTTTCTTTTGTTTTAAATAAATTAAAGAGCTTATTACTTTTTAATAGGCCGGCAATATACCTGCAATACCTCTGGTGTTGCGGGTGCCTATGCGCGGTGGAAGTCACTTACTATCAGGTGAGTAGTATGTTCGTTTGGTCTCTGTGTTATAAAAAAATATATATAGAAAATTTTAAATTTAATACAAGTAAATTTTGCTTCGTAAAAAACAGCAACTTCAACGACTAAATTAATATAACGGAACCAACACTGGATACTATCGATTGCAAAAAAGATAGTCAATATCGGTTTAGTATTTAGAAAATATACCATATACATACTATACAAAAAATACACACCTATTACGAACTTCATCTTTTTTAGTTTTTTTTTTTTTTTTACAATACAGGGGGCAAACGAGCATGCGGCTCACCTGATGGCAAGTGACTACCGCCGCCCATGATCACCCACAACACCTACGGCATTGCAGGTGTGTTGCCGACCTTTTAAAAGATTTTTAGTATTCCCAAAAAATAAAAATATATAATTATATATTACATTTAAATAGTGAAAAATATTGAGAGTACGAGTAAAATAGTGTAAAAATTTCATCCTTACATTCAAGGACTACACATTAGTTATGTAAACAGCCGTATGCGCATGCATGAATAGTGCAATATATCTTTTTGTGCCGAAATATACTACTTATTCACTTTCGCATTCCACGCATGCGTGCTCTTCGTTTAATCGTATTTCAGTTTCGTTGGACATAAATGGTAAATTGCCATGAAACGGAATCTTTTCTTGTGACATATCAAGTTGTGCGCAACTTGACAGACACTTAGAAAGTTTTATACTTTTTAACCAATGACGCAAGGATAGTCGGCGCGCGTAATGATTGTGATACAATGAGAATTCACGTCACACAGTGACAAACATTTAAATGCAATTTACCATTCCTAATTCAACTTCTATTACTGTATAATAGAGTTCAAAATAGTAGTGTTGTTGTCTATAACTGTACAGATTTGCGGGCGAGTAAGCGCCCATGCATCGGCATATTTTCACACTGAAGCCAGCTATGCCGGTACGTGAGTTTGTACGAAAAGGCCGTGGGAATGTCACATTCTTTTGTGTCTATGCTAATAAAAATTTTCTTTGTAGTTAAATAATCGGAGGAATAGATAATAGGTTAAAACGTGATCAAAATGATCTTTCTAACTCGTAGATAAACAATGCAATCTACAATAAAATTAAATAGCTTGTTCACACGTCTATGCTAATAAATATCTCTGTGTATTATACACATTGCTGTGCATTACAAAGTAAATGTTTTAGAAGCAGAAAAATTAAAATTTTAGACAAATATTTTTTTACTCGGTGATTAATATTTTTTCAAATACAATTACAGTTATAATATAATAATTGAGAGGGAGGGGGGGGGGGCTACGTTTGAATAGATATTAATTTCTCCTTTCACAGCAATAAAATGTTTTATATCTAAATTTTCTAAAGTTTAGGTTACCATTTTGTAACTTTTCCACTTTGTGTAACCATTTTTTCTACTTGAAATATCTGTAGATTGTTATGTAAATAAGAACTATCACTTTATAAATATAAGTTTGATATCACAGAAAAGTATTCCTTCAATCAGATTCAGATATAAATTTTAGTATGAGAATATTAACGTATTCCTTGAATGTTAACAGACTTCAATGAACTCATCTCATCGGAACGAGCACCACGTGCAAGTTCAATAGCTCGTTAATTACCACATGATTAGTATTCGAGTCACATTGATTTTTATAGCTCCATCAAAGGCTCCAAGATACAATCGGAAGGAGGTGCTTGAGGCACAATATTGAAATGCTATGTTTGTCACTATAATTGCTACTTTGACTTATACATGTTTGTGCAATTAACTTTTATAATATATTTTTTATTACTACACAAGCATACGGCTTATCTGATAATGAAGGGTTACCATAGCTATAGACGCTTGCAATACCAGGAGTCATATATGTGTCGCCAATACTCAGGAAACCTTTTGAAAATAAGTCTGGTTTTGCCTTTTTTGAAAAAAAAAATATCCATTTTATAGTTTCCAAGATAATCTCGGCAGAAAATTCATTACAGAGTTATGCATAATGTAATACACGTAATTAGAATTAAAATATACACTTAAAATTTTATTATTAAACTAGTTATGTGATAATTGTTATGATATTCTTAATCTGCAACTTCAACACAAATTTCGATTCCCAATTCCTGTTTTTTGTCCTACGAAACAACGGTTTCTTATTTCTTATCTACTTTATGAATAAGGAACTTTTTTATAAAACTTCATACTTCTACACTTACGAATAATATATACACTCGCTCGTTTGTTATTTCACGTTGCATAAATATAAAAATAAACATGGTACTTATATCTTTTTAGACTCATAGGTTTTTTATACTATGCGTTGTTTGTTAGTCAGATGGTTTATTACTCATAATTATGAGAATTTTATTAAATAAATTGTAACATAATTGTAAATGTTGCTATCATAGAAATTTATATTTCAATTTATAAATACCAATAATACAAGGTAATAATCATAAATAAGTAGTAAAAGCCATAAGAATATTAAATAGTAGCAACGCTTATGCGAAATCACAAAATTTATTCGGTCGAAACAACTAATAAACGACTCGATAAATGTAAACGGAAATATAATCAAGTTGAGAAGAAAGAAACTCAACAATTCCCAAGAATGTAATGGATAAAATTTAATATGTTTTATGATCGAATCACTACAATAAATTCTTTATAACATGTTATAACGAAATTGTTTAATAAAACTTGAGTGTCTATACATGATGTTATAAATATTTTCTCGTTATCATATTGTTTACATAAAATTGTTCGAAATATTTTCTAACCCGTTTCAATACGAGGTCTCTTATATTTTCCATTCTTTTTTGTCGTGGTATTTATTTCCAACGGGACGTGGAATCGATGGTCCATCTTGCTTGCTATGTAGCCGTTCACCTGTTGAAATGCAATCCACGTAAGTCCAAGGCCTGCTTTCCTCTGACTAATAAGTAGGGTTACCACAACGGTTATTTTCTGGAATGTTGTAATTTGCATAATTTAGGGTTGTCTGGTTTAAAATAGATCTACAATTATTGTAATGTGTAGGCACCGATTGTAAATTTGACGTACAGAGTAATTTTATTTTTATTAGTAATTTACTTTCATTGACCAATAAGTGGATTATTTACATAGAACTATTGTAAATATTTGGAATAAAATACATGAAAGGTGTTAACAATATTAACAGAGTGCTAAAAAATGTTTTGAAATTTTTATATGTTGAACATTATGCTTGTTTACATGTATTATTATATACCACTTATATTTATTTACATATATTATTTTAACAGTTATAAAAGACTTAAAGTATTTATATTGGACACGACTTGGCGCACGATCGGTAAGCCCACTATAATTGACATGTAAGTATTGATAATAGTGAGTACTACGACCCCCACTGATATTCTGTCAGGTCGACTACAACACGGTTCCCTTAGACACAATCATGAATTATATTCGATATATTCGTCACGGTGACCAACTGAGCTGACTCCATTCTCACTTATCATCTCTTACTGGTGTATACCATATATCAATAGAGCAGACAATAAAATAGTAACACTACCATTCTACTTTCATACATTAAAAGAAATGGCAAGTTTATCAGTGGGTTTCAAATAAAGATAAATTGACTCGATCTTTCTCTTTCAATTTAATGATAAAAACAAATATTTAGTATTAGCAACCCTGCACAAAATATTATATGAAAAATCACTCACAATCTGGGAAGCGAATCATTCCGTCAAACGTATTTAAATGGTTACCCTGAAACGTCCAATACCAGTTGAATAGACTAAGTGAGATGTAAGGCCACAGGAGGCTCGGGGGTTGTAAACAAACCAGCGTTTAATGCTCAAGGCTTGCGTGTCCTTTATGTGAAGGTTTCAAAGGTTATTTACAAGGATATTTCAAAATTGGAATATGCTTATAGAGTAAATTACGCACCAATACTCTGAATATTTGTTTTCAAAAGATTTTAAAAAGGTAAAGGTTCACCTTTGCTTACATTGTTTCTATATATTATTATTATTATTGTATGTTTTAGTGGAATAAAGATATTTTCAAAAAAATCTTAATTGACTGCGTTTTGTTTGTGTGAATATTCCGTTATATTTTAATTACGCTAAAGACATTTTAATGAGTCTTTTTTTAATCGAAAGCATTTTCCCTGTAGGTTCCTTAGTAGTTGTAATTTCTATTTTCGTAAAAATTTAAGATAGTTGTTTTTTATATTATAAGTAAGTAAGTGCCTATATATTATTTTTTGTACTTCAAAGTAAGATCAATACGTATACGTATATGTTCAAGCTTTTAGAAATAATTTATGAAAAATCAAAATTATAATGTTAAAATCAAATCGCGCAGCTTTATCCGTGTGGTAGTGGAAATTAGCTTTATTCGTAAAATCGTTTATAGTGAATACAGTCAAAATAAAAGCAAATATATAAGAATACAGTTAAAATACAAATAAATACGAGTAAATGACTATACAAGAATTGCGTCTCTTGGCAATTTCCACAGATTTCAAAAAGAAGGAGGTTTCTATTCAATTCGGGTCAATTTTTTTTTTGTTTCCTACCTCGTAACTCCGTTAGTTGTAAACTGATTTGGAAAATTTTTTTATATCTAAAAATTTATAAATTGGTCCCAAAGAAATTTTACCAAAATTGGTACAGTAGTTTAGTTTTAAATCAACATAACTGATTTTGCCACAAGTGAAGTCGGCTATTTTTATTGAAAAACAATCTTAATTTTTATATGCAACTTAGAATGGAAAACAAACAGACGGCTCACCTGATGAAAAGTGGTAACCGTCGTTTATAGATATGAACAGTATTATGGCCATAACCGAGAATATTCTAGATAACAAATTGACCGTGCGACCTTATTCGCCAGACTAGATGTTTTGTATGAAGAAAGGACTGAAACAAAAAGGTGACCAGCACGAATATAACAAAAGGCAGTCGTGATAACGTTTAACAGTTAACTATTGATTCGATATAAATAACGGGACGCAAACGGGCGGTCGGCGCCGCGGTGCGTTTTAGGTAGTGCTTGTAATATAATAGTGGCATTTATAAACTGGTAATCACCTAGTCATTACAAGTGATACGTTGATAATCGAATCTGATCGTCGCATGAGCACAAGTAAATTATTAAATTAAAATCAGGCTATCAGTTACATAGTTATTTTTTTTAATATTATCAATGTGAATTAAGATCCGCCGTGTGGTCCCGGCATAGAATAGGCCACTTCTTTCGTAGGGGTAGTAAGAGGCGACAAAGGTTTATAGTCGATGGATAGGCAGCGCGTCTCTCTTTAAATATCACGCGGTTGCCAATCCGCCTGCCATGCGTGAAAACTATTAGCAAAACACCCTTTATGGGAAAGGATTATGTCCAGCAGTGGACTGTTAAAGGCTGATATGATGATAAATTAAGATTGTTCCATAAGCACAATCGATTTCGCTTGTTGCAAAACCAGATATATTGATTTAGAAACTAAACTACTTTTAATAAAATTTCTATAGGACAATCTATAAGTATATTCTTTATATATGGTAAGGAAATTACATTGTACAGAGGCATAATACCTTAGTTTTCAGAAATGGCAACACATGAAGGTTACCATGGGCGACACAGTATACTCTGTTATGTCCATAGTGCTGTTCATGCCTATAGCTACTAATATTATAATACTATATGCTGTAGGCGACGGTTAGCACTTTCTATCAGGTGGTCCGTCAGCTAGTTTGTCATTCTAAGTCGCAACAAAAAAAAATACACCGCTGTGATTCGAATGCAATTAATGAAGAAGGATGCTCGAAATTTCCACGGTAATAGAAGGTAGCTATTTATCGTTATAAATGACGTAGGTTGACTACAAACACACTGCCGTCTCTATTCATCAACGATCACAATATTGACGTTAGAAAGAAAAAAAAAAATATTAACCGCAATTTACTGAATTTCCAATTGATTTTAAAAAAAGAAGGAGAGTTCTCTATTTGGTGGTATTCTGTATTTATGTTTGCTTGTTAGTTTTAAGCCAGCATGGAAAATTATTTTTTATCTCAAAGTATATACTTATAGACTTGTCCCGTAGTAATTTTCACGATCGATTCAGCAATTTAGATTCGTAAACAAAATAACTTGATTTTTAAATCAAAATAATTAATTATTCAAGTAGATTTTTTGTGGAACACAATTTTAAGCGATACATTCTGATATAGTAAAACAATAATATCAATAAAAATAGAAATACAACCAATTTTAGCAGATTTAATGAAACAAATAAAATTGATCTGTTCGTGATAGGTCAACCTAACTCTTTTCATATATTTTTAATTGGTTGCGCTGTCCTTTTATGCGTCATTCTATCTATATACCCGAACCATCGTAGCATGCCCTTTCTCATTCCCATACAAGTAGTTTCATGCTGCTGTGTCAGCCTTACTCAGCATTTTGTTAGCAGTAAACAGTTCTAACGGTTACGTTGAAACAAATTGATAACGATCAATCTAAATAACCAAGTCTGGTTCTTGTTCCCAAATGACTGGAATGTATAGATTTTTTTTTGTTTTTACCTAACTGTGTCATGAGAGCTTATAATGTTTTATGTTAAATATGTATTTTATGTTACTGCATTTCACTTGAATTGTTCAATTGTCATTGTATATTTTTATGTTTCTGGTGCAGTAAGAAGTTAAATAAATAAATAAATGTTTTTATTCTGTACTAGTTAATTATCCTGTACTAGTTTTTACTCGCGACTTTATCCGGGATAAAAAGTAGTCTGTATCCTTCTCCATGTCATGTAGTATATGAATACCAAATACCATAATGATTGGAAGATAATAGAATGGCTACAGTATACGCCGACGGGGCACCAATGAGGGATAATAGGTGAGGTTGAAAGCAGATCAGTTAGTCCATTGTAACGAATTCAATAAAAAATAATCACGACGGTTTCCAAGGAAATAAGGTTGGTCCCATTACTAATAATTCCTTTCTCTATAATAATGATTGGTTAAGCCTAAGGCACTAAGAAGTAATAAACATATAAATTTAATAAAATATTATTATAAGCATGTTTCCACAAAAAAAGACCGGTGAAAATATGAAATTAGGGGGGGAAAGGGATTGATAGTAATGCGAATTACCAATCTCATTACTAGAAATATACTCTGTCAGGTCGACCTCCACGTGGTGCCCTTGGAAACCATTGTGCTGAATTACAGATGTATTCATCACGATAGGCTAACTGACCTGCCTTTGCATTCTCACCTATTATCTCCCACTGGTGCACCGCCAGCGTATAGCGTTAGCGCCAGCAGGGTTACCATTCCATTATCATCCATTAAAAAAATTGAATTAATAAACAAAAATCTCTCAAATTGGGTACTCATGAAATTTTATTAACGTTATCGGTGAGTTTTAGAACGGCAAGATTTTTGGGTTGAATGTCCTTTAGTCCCGCTTTATCAAAGTCAGGCTTTTAATATTTTTTTGTATTATGATATAAATAGAGTAAATATACACCGTAATAAAATCTGAAATAATGATTTAAACTTACTAAATCTTGGTGTAGTGAAGATATATGATTCAAATCTGCTTACCTGTAAAGACAAAATGACGTTATATTATTGAAAACGTTTAATATTTACAAACATAATGGTTCACAATGCACTATACATTTGTTTATAACTTTTTATAGTATGAACATACGATACTGGTATATACCTGCTTCGACCCCGTCAAATTTAAAAAAAGTAGGTATCTATCTATACGTTTATGGAAGTACCTGCCATACAATTACAGAACAAGTTTTACTTTTAAAGTTTCAGTTATAATTAAAAACAATAACATTCCATAATTTCAATAATTGAATTTATTATTATTATTATCTAATGAACACCGTTTTAAAAAGCGCTATTTATTAAATTTAATGATCATTCGAAACTTAGTACAAATGTGTTATTATATATTTTCGTGTGGTAATTAAAGCTGCTCCCAATCTTACGGTACAAAACCTTGTTAATACCTTAACCGTTACGTTAATTTTAACTTTTAAAGTATATTACATACTTATGATAATTTTAACTTTTATAATACACTAGCTTTTTCTCGCGGCTTTGTCCGCATGACTGCGATATGTTCACTGACAGAGATAAAAAGTAGTCTTTACCCTTTTCCATTCTATATAGTACGTGTATATCAAACTTCACAGTGATAGGTTAAGTCGTTAAGGCGTTAAGAGGTAACAAACAAACAAACTTTAGCATTCGTATAAACTTATTACATATTATTTTTAAAACTTATGTTCATTTTTTACCAATATATATATGTATATGTATAACATTCGTTGGAAAAGACAAACATGGTAAGTTCATAAAATTCTATTTAAACATATACCATTTATCTATTTATATGCTTTTGTACATTTTTAATATAGATATTAGGTTATAACAAAAATGTACACAGGCGGACTTGTCCCCTAAAGGGATTTCTTCTAGTCAACAAGAGAAAATATTTATAGGATTTGTATAAATATATCTGGCGCAAAAATAATATGATAAATAATAAATTATATTATAAATAGCTATTATATGTTTAATTTTGACTAGGTATTATCGAGTTTTATCTTAGCTGTACAGTTTTTACCTTTGAACACTTTATAGTTTTCTTCCAGTTTTTCAAAAGTTGACTGTAAGAGATCCCTATATGGGATATAAATATAAATTATGTACAATAAAGATGTTACAATACAATACATATAAGTAACTCAACTGTCAATAGTATTATAAAATGTTGTTTGAGCTTGTATAGGCTATTACCATATTAAAGACTTTGTATAGATTATTTAAAGGAATGTTGCGTTGGGTTGGTCATTTGGAGAGGATGGATGAAAGAAGAATTACGAAAGAGATTTATCGAGCAAGAATGAATGGAGATGTCGGTAGGGGCCGCCCTAGACGGACGTATGTTGAACAAATAGGCGACGTGCTGAAGAAGGGCCAAATTAAAAGTACCCGTAACCGGCGAGCGTGTATGAAAAGATTGATGAATGTGGAAGAAGCGAAAGAGGTTTGTTTGAATCGAAGCATTTGGCGTTCCATTGTTTCTGCCTACCCTAATGGGAGACAGGCGTGACAGATATGTATGTATGTATGTATAGATTATTTCAATAGAAATGAATGAAAATTTAAACAAATGAATAATTGACCTGACCATACCTGTTGTTGTTTAATAGCAGTACAAATAAAAAAAAAAAACAATTAATTGATTAAATTTTTTTGTTTCAAAAATCCTGTACCATATTTGTAAAGAATGGCAATAAATTTATTATTATTATTAAAACTTGGTTTTCAACTGACTTCAAAAATAAGGAAGTTCTCAATTCGGTTGTTTTTTTTATATTTGTTACCTTATAACTCCGTCAGTGCTAAACCGATTTGCAGAATTCTTTTTTATCTGAAAGGATATACTCGCCGATAGGTTCCATAGAAATTTTATCAAAATCGATTTGGTAGTTTAACTTTTAAACTAAAATGACTAATTTTGTCACAATTGATTATCGATTTTTTGTCGGACAAAATTTTTAATTATTTATTTATTTATTTCTATCCTTTTAGCATTCACTTATAATATAGGTATTGGGTTATACCAAAATGTACACAGGCAGACTTATCAATTAAAGGGATTTCTTCCAATCAACCTTGAGAAGTTTATTAAGTTATTATTAAGTACGGTTGAAAGGGACTTATTATTTGTTTACGACAGTTAATTATATTGTATCAAAATTGTCGAAAGGTCCAAATTTACTAGTTACAACGCATTAGAGACCTTTCTGAACAACTTTCACTGCGATCCAGTTGAGTTAACCCATTGTTAAAGGACAATGGCGGTGATTCCACTTTCACACGCCCTCTGACGCTCGTTCATTCATAATTGTAACAGATGATCAATGAATGTTTTAATGAAGCCGGTGATTGAATTGCTTATATTGCTAAAAATATTTTTTATATAAAAAAATAATTTTTATATAATATAAAATATTTTTATTAATGTTGATTTTAACATATATGAGTTAAATAATTATATTTGAATCATATAAAATACAAAATGAATTTTGATTGTTAATAACATTAATAATTTTCTATTAAAATGTTCAATAGCCTTAACATTATATTTATTAAAAATATCAATTTAAATATTTTAAGTGTATTTTATTTAAATATTAATTTAAAATACAATGTAGGACATATATCCTACTATATGGAGTAACGACTTCAAATGCATTGCAGGGAGTCAGTGGCTACAAGTGGGTCAGGACTGTTCCTTATGGCATTCTATGGCAGAAATCTAAGTTCAACAATAGACAGATAACTTTTATTTTTGATTTATTTTCTATTATAGTTTCAACGTCTGTCAATCATCAGATTTTCAGGAATTAGATTCATTGCACCATAGACACATTACTATTTTTTTTTCTAATTTCTTTGCATTGTACTCCAAACTTAATTAATAATCATCTTTTTGGGATTGTGATGATTTAGATTTAGATGTATTACTACATCCAATAACTCTGACCAATGGTGTCCTAACAGTATGTAGGATTTCTCTAGAGTTTTTTTCAAAAACGGTATATTAAGTTTCTTCAGCGCCGGCAATGCTCACGACACCCCTAGTGTTGCAGGCATTCATAGACTGCAGTGATTGTTTACTATCATATATTGTGGTATAAAAAAAATATAAATAAATCCGTATACGGTTTCGGCAACGACAATCACTTCCCAATGGCGTAGTTATCAAATTTATCCATTATCTCACCTCTCAATGTTAATAGCTGCGTTGGCAGGTGTGGTGTCAGTTGTCGACCTTCTACGCTGCCCTGCCACTACCACCCGTGGCCATTCCTGTTTTTACGTGCGCGGCACTTGAAAGGGCCGTTCTTATAGAATATTTGCAATGCTATTTTTAATACAATAAAAAGAATAATAAAAATCGGTTTAGCGGACTAACTTTTAACGTAATCGAATTATTATTAATAATGCGGACTATCAGTTCTATTGCTAGCAATATACCCTCGTCAGATCGACCTGCACGTGGTCTCTACTGGAAACCATAGTGCTGAATTCCTAGTGTATTCATCATTATAGGCTAATTGACCTGTCTTTTCATCTTATACTATTAGCGCAAGTGGGGTTACCCTTCTATTGTCCTCTAATAAAAAAAAAAAAAATAACTATATCGAATCTATAAATAATAATGAGAAATGCAGTCGAATTAACAACCTCATTTTAATGTCAGTCGAAGAGTAAAACAGGTAGTCAATATAAAGTGAAATGACATTCACATTTAAATATTTGTAGGCAAAATATTTGTTGATCGAATCATATTGTTTTAACCCAAATTTTGTGATTGCTAAATCACAATTCTTATGCTATGCTAACATGTAGTTTTTATTGGCCAATTAATATAGGACGAATGGTGATGCATGCATATATTTTATGATGATTCAGCTATTTTCATGTATATGTTTACATGTACATTTTAAAATTCGATCAAGTAACAAACAGATAGATGTAAATTATATACTTAAATTAATAAATATTTTGTTGATTTACCTTTTTTTGTAGTTTACCTATACCTACCTATACCTTACATAGATATATGATATATTAGTTCTCAGGAATAGCAACGCATGGGAGGTATCATAAACGAATCAGTATACACTATATTGCCTATGCTACTGTTCATGTCTATAGACGACGGTCATCACTATCCATCAAACGGGCGTCAACTTGTTTGTCATTCTAAGTTGCATATAAAAAAAAAAAGATATAAAATTGTTTTGCATTGATTTTAATAGAGTTAGGGTTAAAAAAGTTTTACATAGAACAAGACCTAGGATATATTATAAACCTAGAACACAAAACCAGATTGTTTAAGACAATAATAATAATGCGAGTTTTTTATAGATATTTTTTAGCAACTACGTATAGATTAAAGTTTGGAAATTATTTAATCGTATGGCAAGCATTAGTATGTAATGTGTTGACATTTTTTTATTACTTTTCCACTGCGTTTTGTGACTTGTTGATATTTATTACCATTTTATTTGTATCAGAGATTCGCTTTCACGACTTGTGTCGATTTAACATTGCAGTCACGCCATTGATGTGCATGCGTGGTGTTTATTTTGATCATATCTATAAAATGGAAAGGTAAACGATACTTTGTATACAATTTATATATTATTATACTATTTTTATGGATGTCACGACGTGTTCCCAGTATTAATACACGCAATAGAATCTAAACAAAGGAGATCGCAAACAACTGATTTCTGATTTTATTCTAGATTATGTAATTTATTGAAAAAAAAAATAGATTACTACAACCGTCGATGATAATATGTATAATAATACTAGCGACCCGCCCTGGCTTCGCATGGGTAGATAGATAATGATTGTACAGCCTATGTTACTCGCTGAAAATGTAGCTTACGTACTATAGAAAAAAGAATTGTAAAAATTGTTGTTTATTGAAGTATATCCATTATGAAGTATAAACAAACATAACAAAAATTAAATGACACCTACCAACATCATACATAACATCATATATTAGAGTATGGTCCTTATACTATGTCCTATGACCTGGTTATGAGGAACTAGGCAATGGACATCTGGGGGCACAACTGAAAACACCCAGCCCTGAGTCAATTCAGAAAGATTCATATTCTAAATTGTCGTGCCTGGCAATCAAACCCGGATCTCATTATGCAAATCAATGTCACTACCGCTGCATCACGTCGGTCGTTAAGATTTATAAATCAAAATCAAAAACTATGCTACTAGTAAGTTGTAAATGTGTATTCTGTGATGTCGATGGTGCTGTTCATTTTTATAGGCGCCACTTTCCATCAGGCGGCCCGTTAGATATTTACCATTTCCAGTTGCATTAGAAAAATGTAAATACGACGAGAAAACTTCTATAGAATCAAACTATAAGTATATCCTTACAGGTTAAGAAAGAATTTTTTAATCGATTTATACCTGATAGAGTTAGGAGGTAACAAACATAAAAAATACAACCGAAATGAGACGCTTCTTCTTTTTGAAGTCGGTTGAAAACAACTCCATTTTTAATCGAGTGTGGGTGAATTAATTCTATCATATAATTTACGAGATTTGCAAAGTGGGCGTAGAAATTATGAGTGTTAGTCATTTAAAAGGTTCAAAAAAACTTTTATAAATTGTAAACAATATTTTTGTTATGATATTAACTATCATAACAAAAATATTGTCATTTAGTTATGACAATATTACATGTACATGTCAAAAAGTTATGGTTAGAGTTAACAACGGTCGTATAACAACTCAATGGCACGATAAATGAAATGCTTGGTAAGGTGTGACTGCTCTTTAAGGTATAATGGGTTGAGCGTCCTCACCCGCCTGCTTATTAAACGATAACCTCTGACTACGATCATGTATGTATTTTTGAACTGACTTCAAAAAAGATTCTTCGTTCAATTAAGCTTGCTTGTGTCTATTTTAAGCGCTTTATGGGAACAGTGTATGAATACAATGTGTTACTCATTGAAACTCCTTTGTAATTGATATGTAAATTTAAGTCTCGCCACATGTATGTGTGGAATTGTGGACATTATTTCTCTTTTTCTTTGTATTTTGTTTTCGGGATATATATCTGTATATATAAAGTTTATCTGGTTATACATATGTATATATATACCTCTAAAGATATTCCTTTATTCTATTGTATGACTCTATACATTACTCACTCCTTTTTATACCCTGGATGTGGTAAAAGGCGAATACGGAAATAAAGTACAAGATGCCACTTCAAGATAAGGATTATTTTAAACAAAGCCCTATATAAAATAGTAAATACATACATTTTGTTATTTTATTAGAAGACCCGAATCTAGTAAGTGGGATATTAATGGTGATTATAATTATGGTGTGGTATGATACATTATTTCGAACAATTCTTTCGCCAATGGTTCTTTTTTTGAGCAAAAATATTTTTTCCCGTATTGGGTTCACATTTTTATTAAAACTATTATTGATTAAGATTTTTGTAAAAATATTTTTTATAAAGTAAAAAAAAGTTGACAACCAAATTTTTTTACAGTAGTTCTGAGTTGCATAAAAAATTTACTTTATTTTTTCATTGATAACATTGTTTTTTTTTTTTTGTAATAGTAAGAGGCGACTATGGGAACTTAATGGTCAAGAGATGGGTAGTAGCGCCCCTCTTAAATTATCACCGAAGCTAAAGCCAACCCTTCTGCCAAGCGTAGCAACTAATGGCAAAACCCCCTTATGCGGGAAGCCTATGTTCAGCACTGGACAGTTAACGACTGATATGATGATAACTCCACTTTTATTTAAAAAAGCAACAACAACTCGTTCTTCTCAGCTGAAATTTGCATTACGAACTCGCCGGTAGAATAATGACTATTCTAAAATGCTTATAATTTTGTTAACTTGAATAAAAAAATATTTTTATTGATTTAACAATTTTGTTTGATTGATATGTATATGTATGTGGTTGTGTATATATGTATGTGTATGTATATGTATGTATATGTGTGTATATGTGTGTATGTATATATGTATATAATTTTTATATATTTTTAATTTGCAAAAGATGCTTTTTTAATTATAAAGCACTATCATTCCTACTTGTACAACAATTAGTCCATTACCTTAAGATTGTCTTGAAAAGATTGCTCTCAGCAATAAGACCACCTTACTGTACTTATACAATTGTATCGTTGTGTTTGTAAATTGTCTTGCTTATTTCCTATATTGTATAATGCAAATAAAGTATACTCATTCATTCATTCATTCAATTGTCCCGGATTTATTATGTTTTAAGATTACATAAATAAGTCTCACTTTTGATGACTAATAATATTCGTAATCATCAGTAGGTAAATCATAATAAAAAGTAGTACATACAAGAGAATGATTATAACAAAAACTAATTGCGCCGTGCGCATTGCACAGTTTAGAATCTAACAAAAGTCACGCCGAACTGTTCTGACATTCGATGTGTTAGCTACTCTTTAACTATTATGGCATATAGGATAATTGCATCATATCTGAACTTAATGACTTTATGTATTTAAAGTCATACTTTTTAAAAACAAATAAAAGCTACCTCGATTATTTAACAGATTAAAATGCAATTTTTAATGGGTGAAGATGGAATGGTGTATGCTTATACTAACGGTATGACGAGCTACTAGAGAAGGATGAAATGATGATCACGAAGTAAGGTAGTTGGCCCGATACGTAATAATGGATTCCAGAGGTGGTCACGTGAAAGTCGACTTACTTGTCAGGGTATAATGGTTCTAGCATCCCCGCTATTAATAATTCCTCTCGCTTCAATCGAGACGTTAGGATAGTATGTAATTAAAAGACAATAATTCATGGTGTAATATCGACGTTGGGAAGGCAAAATGTATTAAGCGCCAACTTAGCTAATATTGAGTTATCATTGAATTTTGCTTTTTTTCTACGTTGAATGGTATTTATTAATAAATTAATCAAAGCAAGTTAGTGTAATTTAACCAAGTCACGAAATGGCCGAGCACAGATTTTTTTTATATGTACTCTACAAATTTTTATTTGTATATTTTAACATTTTTTTTATGCAACTTAAAATTGCAAACAAGCTGACAGTCCACCTGATCAAAAGTAGTAACCGTCGCCTATAGACATGAACAGTACTATGGGCATAACAGAGTATTGTTTCGCTCATGATATCCCCCATGCGTTGCCATCCCTGAGGACTAAGGTGTTATGCCTCTATATCCTGTAAATTCACTGCCATATTTCACCCTTTAAACCGAAACACAATCATGCAAACACAACTGCTTCATGGTAGAAACACGAATAGAACAGAGATACCCAAGCAAACGACTTTTGTCAAAGTCTTCTTCTGATAAACGATACAGAACATATCAAAAATACAAAAGTATTTTATCGTTTTTTACAGCTACAAACTGTTTCATTATACCAGACATTTACTATATAACCTATTATCACTCATTTTGCCTTTTGATTTCTTTTTTTTTACATTCCTGTAAAACTCACTACTACTATTCGAATGGGGGCAACGCTCTTTGGTGTCAAACGTTTCTAGGCCATTTTCTCTATACACAAAGACCTCTGGCATGGCTCACCGGAGAATGGATTCTTAAAATTGACTAAATGGTATTTAATACATTTTACCTTTCCAGCGTCGATGTAATGAATCGCCTGTTAATTCGACACGTTCGTCGTGCCATCGAAGGATACGACGGGCGAGTGCAAGTTGACGCAAGGCAGTGGTTGCCACATACTTGGTTATACTCCAACGGAATGCAGGAAACACATCTGTATTCTCAACAGTCGCATTCATATTTGAATCAATGTAGATAGGTAGTACATATCCAATTTTGCAATACGTAAAACATAATTGTATGTAATTTTTAGCAATTTCCAACAGAATAAAGTTTTAGTTTTTTTTTCGGCTATTATTGTGAGATTACGTTGACAATTTTGAACTGATTTTAACAGGTCTGTTTTTTTTTTATACCACTAAAGTGGTAAACCAGCATACAGCCCACCTGATGGTAAGCGATTACCGTAGTTTGCACGACTGCAATACCAGGGGCATTACGAGTGTGTTGCCGACCCTGAAGAAACTTCTTTATTCCTTTTTTGAAGAACCCCATGCTGTAGTCTCTTGGAAAATCCTCGATAGAGAGCTCATTCGCTTCACCTGAGCGTTTTCAATCAATCTGCTTTATTCCGGTGTTTAAAAATATGAATTTTTCTTCGATTATAGTCCCACTTTTCTTCGTAAAATATTATTTAGAACTAGCCACATTACTTAAAACAGACATATTATTGAATAATAACTATCGTGAGTCATATTGTATTGTTATTATTTACGCCTGCTTTAATCGCTTTTTAAAATCGGGGATACCCGAATAGTTTTGAACTCAATAGGTACCCTTATTTATGAGCGCGGTTCATGGCTGGGTCACGGGCGGCTCATGAATAAAACTACAACCATATTACCTGAGATGATAAGAGACGATTGTTTTCTTCATAACTAGCTCCTTAGTACACTTATATTTATTTTGTTCTTTACTATTTACATTACAAAATTCTTTAATACAAAAGGCGGACTGAATGTTATATAACATTTGAACTTTTGTCAAAAAGGAACAAAAAAGTTTTTATTTGATATTCAATTTTTTTTGCACGTTTGTTATTATTAGGTTTAAGAATAATATGAACATGTTTTAGTGTCATGGTGGTAATGGCTGGAAAGAAGAATATTTGTAAAAAGAAAAAGTTCTTTTTTTTTTAATTTTTGCATACCATTCTTATATCTCTTGATGTTATGTTTAGGAACTATAATTTTAATATGTAAATAAATATAAAAACACTAGTAGAAATATAGAAAAGGTATCACTTTGGAGTCGTCGTCTACGTGGTTTAAATTATCTCTAATTTTTTTTATGTACAATGTTTTTAATTGATGACTGACAAAAATAAAACCTATGTATATTTTATTTCACTGGAATTTGTTTGAGCATATATGTAGATATAAGTTGTTGCAAAACGATTACTCTATTTATGATTTATCAACGCATTGCCGAATCGAGTTATTATAAGGTTTCGTCTGCGAACGTGTCATTGTTTATTGTACTTATAGTTTTAATTAGGCACTTTTGTTTTAGAGGCCGAACAATGTATTGTTTTCTCACCACGATACGAACTGTGAGAGGATGTTATACTTAGTACACATCTGCGCTAATATAAAGCTTCGTGCCGTTGCACACAATGCACTTTCACTTATAGAGAATTAATAAAGTTTGCCCCACAAAGAATGCGGACGACAAAGCTAGGACATATAATTTATTATTATTTCAGCCGTTACCTGTCCACTGCTGGACATAAGCCTTCCCCATAAGGCGAGTTTCGTCAGTAATTGCTACGCTTGGCAGGCGGGTTGGCAACCGCAGTTAGACTTCTAGAGATGTTTTAATAGAGACGCTGCTGCCCATCCCTCGCTCTCGAAAGGAAAGGGTTGGTCCATTGTATGCCAGGGCACAAACGGCGATATATAATTACTTAAGACAATTAGTATAAAACAAGAAATCAGTCTAGAATCGCCGAAAATTGCGTAATACTCATTTCGAGAGAACAAACTGTGGTAAAAATACGAACATACTACTTTTTAAAGTCGGTTGATAATGAGAATAGTGTATGGAAATGAATAGAGAAAATGGCTGTGTGACTTTCTCGTATGTGGAAACTTAGTGGTCAAGGAATGAGCAACAGCGTTCCTCCTAAAACATGACCAAAGTTTAACTGCTGTTGTCAATCCACCTGCCAAGTGTGGCAACTAGTGGCAAAGCCCCCCAATAGAGGAAGGCTCTATTCTTTTCTATATTCTTCTTGAATAAAAATGTATTATTTAAGAACATAAAGAACATTATGTTGTCATCTGTCGTTCACGCTGACAAGAAATTAAGTTTAGTCTACAATATGACAAGAGCGTGAAATATAATGAAAATGCTATTTCATGTGCAATAATACATAATGTAGACACAACTTAATAATTGCAATCTATTGCTCATAATAAATGTCGTGTCGTGAACAGAGCTTTAAGTTGCCTAATGTACTTTCTAAATATTACATACCTGTATAGCTCGACTGATGGAGAATGGTCCGAGTTGATACATCACTTAGACTGTAACCTCTGTAGACGTTTTGTAATGAAACAATGATTTCTTAAAAAAGGTGAAATATAAATAGTAAGTAGCAATTTTAAGGAACATACGTCGAGTACAGTACAAGTAATACAAGTAAGTTAAGTGTATGTAAGTGGTATAGTTTAAGTTAGTAAAGAAGGTTCAAGATTTTTGTCGATTTTAAATTTGGAGTCACGAAATTTCAGTCCTAATACATTCTACAGCATGGATTCATAGTTTTTCATACAATTAAAAATTTCGATTTTATCCTGTGTGATGTATATTTGAAATCAATATTCTCAATTTGTTAAGTGTTTATGACTTAAAAAACTTTGCTCCACAAGAACCAGCTATTTAAATAATTAAATAATATGGGAAGAATGTGTGAATAAACTCTATCGATTGCAAAAAGGATAAACAAAGTCAATGCAGAAATATAATAATAATATATACAGTTGAAAATACTTTTGGCTGGTTTCTTTAAATGGGTGAAAATGGAATGGTAACCGCGCCTGCGCTATAGGTATACACTGGGACCAGAGAGGGATGATAGGTGAGGATGAAATAGGTCGGTTAGTATATTGCTAGTAATAGGGCTGTTAGACCCCATTACTAACAATCCCTTCCCCCCTGAAATTTATGGCTGGTTTAGAATTTTATAATGATTTAGAATTTTAGACACATTATTTTACATTTTCGAAAAAATAATCTAATCAATTGCATGTTAATTGAGTACACATCAAATGTTAACAAGCGCATAATAATAAAATTTATTTTTTTATACGTTCCAATAATTTTATTTTTCTTGTTTGAATGCTTTAACGAAATGAAATGTAAACTTTGTATTACGTTAAGCTGCGACCAAACCTGTGCGGTCTCATTGTTAACGAAACAATAAATAATTTGCTACCGGCGAACATTTTCCATAACATTTTATAGCTCCATGCACAACTTCGCGATAATAATGGACGATATTCAGTGACTATTCCTTTACTGACCAATGAAGTTCGCGATTCGCAACAACGCACGCAACACGCAATACATGCATGCACACGCGAACGTCCAGTTTCACGTCGCGATCACTCCCGTTTCACATCCTACGCGCGGCGCAGGTTTGTTCGAAGCTTTATAGTTAATACCAATTACGTTTTAATTATAGCAATCACATTTGCCAACCATTATAGCAATTAATTTATGCAACAGTTCCCACAGATTATCATTGTTATGACAAATTAAGTGGCACTATTCCCATTTACGCGTGAGTGAGACGCTTCAATTAGAGAGTTGTAAAAATAATGTTATTAGCGGTACATTTGCTCGTTTGTTCGTATGACGTACGGCTTCTATTTCTGTGGTTCGGGGTTGGATTCCTGGTTAAACCAATTCCAGTGAATACCGATAGCGTGGGTTACTATTCTATTATCACCCATTAAAAAAATTAAGAAAGAAAGAGTACTGAAGGGGTAAAATTACTACGGTTTATATTGTATTTATATACCGCTGACTTAGTCTGCATAAATATACTTATCAGAAGAAAAAAGAGTTTATCTTCTTCCCCATTGCATATACTACATTGGTACTAAATTTCAGTACAATCTTGATATCAAGAGATAACAAACAAACTTATTTTATAGCGGACATTATTATTTTGTAGCGGACAAACTCAAGAAATAAATAATCGATTAAAAAACTCTTTCACCTATAAAAAGTTACATTTACAACGAACTATATGGGTGGCGTTTTATTTAAAAAAAAGTGTATATAAATCTACTACCTGTACTTGTGCGAAACCGGGACGAGTCACAGTATATAATATTAGTAAGGGTATGAGGCATTCAAATTACTTGTAGCACTACTGGTAGAAATAATGATATAATATAATAAAACATAACAAAACAGCAAAACAGGTAAAACATCTAGTGGCCTCGCTGCGACAATATATTTAATTATGCTTACAGCAAAGGGATTTCCCCAGCACTTAATCGAAGTCGCATGATAAGAAGTCAGTTGTTAATTTCCTTTTAAATAGACAATGTATAAAGATATCGTACTAATATTATGAATGTGAAAGTTTACAATAACTTACTGTAGTAACCATTACCTATTTATATGAAGGGAAAGAAATTGTTAGTAATAAGGTTTAAAACGCCTATTGCTACCAATATACCATTTGTCAGGTCGATCCCCACGCGGTTCTCTCTGGAAAACATCGTGGTTAATTCTTATAGAATTTATCACGATGGGTTAACTGACCTGCTTTCATCGTCACCTGTCATCCCTTACTAGTGCCTCGCCAGCGTATACCGATAGCGCAGGCGGGGTTACCATTCCATTTTCACCCATTAAAAAAAACTATGGATTACTATGTAACTGTATTGTGCTGGGGGAAGGGATTGTTAGTAATGCGGATTATCATTCCCATTGCTAGCAAAATACCCTGTCAGCTCGGTTGATCTGACTGGGACCACATGGAGATCTCCACGTGGTCCCCCTGTAAACCATCGTGTTTAATTCCTGGTGTATTCATCACGATGGGTTAACTGACCTGCCTTTTTATCTCACCTATCATCATTCACTGGTGCTTCGCTAATGTATACCTTTAACGCAGGCGGGGTTATCGTTCTATTGTTATCCATTTAAAAAAGCTGTAGTGTGCTCGCGCCTTTAGTTTAATGAGCAATCACTTGCAGCGTAAATTTTACATTCACGACTGAAGACTATAAATCAAAGATTTGGTAGCTAACTAATACTAACA